CACGACTCCTGCAGAAGCCCCGGACTTTCCAAGGCGGGGGGCCCCTCCCTGGCTCAGAAGGGCAGAGAGAGGCATCAGGAGGGGCGGGGAGTGACATAGAGCAGGCTCTTCCCACTGGGACCTGCCTGGGAGCCACAGACACCCCAAACGCTGCACTGTCAGTGCCCCGGAGGCAGGGGGGCATCGCATGGACCCCAGGCTCGTGTCACCAGGGCACGCCCATGGACCTGAGGATCTGATCAGCCTTTCCCGAACCCCGGGTTCTCCTCGCGCTCGTCCACTCGATGACTCCACAAATGTGCACGGGGCCCTGGGACCCCACAGGGGACGCACAAGACAGAGCGGTGCCTGTTCACCCCTCGCTCACAAGTTCCGGGGGGATAGCCACCCAGCAGAGCACGAGCAGACCCACAGGAAGGAGAGCCTGTGAAGTAACGGGGGTCCAGTGGAGGGAGGAAGGAGGGCCCCTCGAGGGACACCTGCTCAGAGGCCCGAAGGTGCCAAACTTTGACGCGGGCAGAGGGACCAGCAGACACACAGACCAGGGCAGAAGCCGAAAGGCGCTGACCGGCCGGTGGGAGCCTGCGTCCGGCGGGAGAGGCCAGCTGGAAGGGGGGTGGTCGGACCCCTCTGAGGCTGCAGGGGAGGGCCTGGCTTGGATGAAGGCAGAAAGCTCTTCCCAGGACACAGCCGGGCACGGCCACCACACCACACGGGCAGGACCGGAGGGCCCCACCGCGGTGCATCCCCTGCCCGGACAGGAAGCGGCAGGCCTGTCCCTGAGCCACCTTGCCTGGCTGCCAGCACCTGACCTGAGCCTGCCCCAGACCGGCAGACCCCAGGGAGAGGGGCACCTTCCCTGCTGGGGCTCACAGGCCCATGAGACCCCCGGCTCCAGGAAAAGGATGGGAGCTGTTAACTGGGTGATCCCTGGGGCCCCAAGCCCGGCAGATGCTGGTCCCTCAAATAGGTGCTGCGGGTGGAGGCTCCCCGGACTGGGCAGCCTGCTACAGGCCGTTCGGGGAGAGGAGACGCAGCTCCCCGCACCCCGCTCCCTGACAGTACTCATGTCCCTCTCCACTCACCTGGGCGCCGAGCAGGGCAGTATTTGCTCAGCAAATATTGTCCGTGACAAGGCAGCCAGACAAGCACTATTTGTTGTCATCCTGTGAACAGTGTAGCCTGGAGAGAGGTCTGAGCGATGACCCCCCCCCCCTCCGTCCAAACAGAAGCCTCGAGGGGGAGGGAGGCACAGGAAGAACCTCCAAGTATCCATTTTATCTCCGCCCCACCGAGTCCAGCGCGGCGCCTCCCAGCACATCCGGAGCCCCAGGAAGCGATACTTTGATCGAGAGAAACAATTGCCAAAAGGG